CAGCATCATCGGAAACCGAGGTGGGTCCGATGCAGATGTGAGGGCGCCGATCGGCAATGCAAGGGCTGCATTTCTACAATTGAAAAATATCTGGAACTCCAAACAAATATCAACAAACACCAAAATCAGGATTTTCAATACGAATGTCAAGACAGTTCTACTGTGTGGAGAGGAAACTTGGAGAACCACGAAAGCCATCACTCAGAAGATACAACTATTTATGGACAGTTGTCTACGCATAATAATTCTGATTCGTTGGCCAGATAAGATCAGCACCAACGTACTGTGGGAGAGAACAAACCAGATTCCAGTGGAGGAGGAAATCAGGAAGAAGCGGTGGAAGGGAATAGGATACACACTACGAAAAGCATCTAACTGCGTCACGAGACAAGCCCTCACATGGAACCTTCAAGGTCAAAGGAAGAGAGGAAGGCCAAGGAACATATTACGCCAAGAAGTAGAGAAAGATATGAGAAGAATGAATGAAAACAGCAAAGAACTGGGAAGGGAAGCCCAGGCCAGAGTTGGTTGGAGAAAACTGGTAGGTGGCCTATGTTCCGTTTGGGGGAACAGGCGTAAGTTAGTGCTAATACGGTATAGCGACGTGAATCGACGAAAATATACCCCAGGTTTTACATTGCGTTTGACCGACTAATACTTAACCCGACATTCAGAAGTCGGTCAAACTGTTCTAACTGCTGATTTTGGAGAAGCGGCATTATGCTAGGCTTTCTCAGACAAGATTTTGTAGATCGACTAAAACAAATTAAACAACTAGCCAGTGTAGCGTTTCGTCGATCCTGTCTGAAAACTTTTCCAACGACAACCACTGATAACGTTGTTTATTGTTTCCACTCTGTTTTAAGGCATTGAGAAGTAGTTTATTTATATTGATTAATTCTATGGCCATGGCTAAAATAAACTTTATTTGTAAACAATTTTCGTCATTGTGCGTAACTTCAAAATTCACTTCCATGTATACAAACTGTGTATTGACTAAAATTGTTAACAAAATAAGTTCATTTCAGCCATCTCTGCAGTCCAGTCTTAGGTTGTTGCTTCTGTGACAAGTATTATCGCACAAAATCTAATTCAGAAATCTAACAATATTACTTTTTACTTTTATTTCTAAGCTACTGATAAGTAGTATGAATCTTAATAAATAGAATAGAAATGTTTGCCTCTGCCATTATCGAAAAAGTATTAAAAAGATTAAAGACTGTTAGTCTTTTGATACTAGTAAGTTTCGGGATAAAATATCCCTGCTAGAGTTGTGGAGGACTAGAATATGTAAGTTGGTTTTGCGATATCAAGCACCCCCAAAATTCTCTGCTATGAAATCCGCTCTCTGGGACCAAGTGTCTGTCCATTCCTCCGCTCCTCAGGATATTAAACTGTGTTCAGCATGCCATTTAGTGAGAAATTCATTACATCAAACCGGAGATCCAGAACTGCACTTATTTAAAAAAATGGCAGAACAGCTCTGAGAATCATAAAATAGACAAGTAGAAACTCTCAGTATGAGGATGTGAAATGCGACAGACTGTGCTATTTCGACTGCAGAGTACTGTTTTGAATTCAATAGAGATATTACTAACCCGGGTTAGTCCTTTTTGATACAGGGATTAAGTAGTGTAGGCTTCTTTACTCTGTTGAACAAAGCTTTCGCATAGACTGTCTGCACTATATACAGAAGGTGTGTAAAGATTCTAAAATACCCAAGATCTTGGACGATTTATTTGACTTAAAGTCGGTCGCAGTGGTCCACATGTACTTATAAGTAATCTTCTTCCAAAATTTCAGTTCCCCTACTCTCCGCTAGTTCAGTGTTATTGTTGATCTCCTAAGATCGTGTTCAGAACTAAATGTTGCAGCTACCAATATTTGTACTTAATTGTCTGAACAAACAACAGAATTCATTAGCTAGGACTCTAGAATCTCAACTCATGAACAAATGCTGCGTCTCCAAAGGTCGCATGCTCGATCCAGGTGTGATATTTCACTCGATCTCATCTAGCTAGTGTCAAGAACCAAAGGGAACCACGCCTCGTGCCTGCAACCTTCTCGTGGACTTACTGGTATGGCATTAAGTCTAGGATCAGAACAAACTATCCTGGACTAGATTCGGAAGGATAGTCGCTTGTACACTGTCATACTAAACGGAACATTATGAACCCATAAGCATAGGGACACACACCATTGCCTCTTCGTCTCCAACCATGCCCTCACTAACTGCAGCTCTGGTAGAAAAAATAATAATTTGTACAGAAAGATTTATGACCTCTGCCAGAAAGCTAGACGGTCTCATTACTTATTACAAAACATTTAGGATGGGAGATGAACTTAACTCCCGAATTTGATCAAAGTTGAAATATGTAAGGCTTGTAAACAACGAACTAGGTTGCTCTGAGACCTGGACTTATTGATCAAGTATTCACTCGAGTTTGGAACAGAGATATACTTATTGAGATCAGACAATAGTAGTAATTGTTGACCTGAAGAAGTCACTTGATTATGTCATCTGAGATTTTTAATGGGAATATCTGTAAATGAAAGGTGCACTGTAGAAGTGTGTAAACCTTGTCAGACTCACTACTCAAGTAAGAGCTTATAAACAATCGCTATTAGCGTTGTCAACCTTAAATGATGTTTGTCAGGAGTACCGATTTCCCCGTTTCTATTTAACGTCGTCATAGACACATAGAAATAACTTTTTTATGCGACGTAAGAGGGATATTTGTCTGACAACCAGAGGACGACCGTGCTACTCTGTTTTACCTTATGGCTGACTAGCAGAAGTGGGCTATAGAAATAGAGGGGTGTTTTATCGTAGAGGATATTCGTGGGTCAACAGTATTCGATTATAGGTGTCTTCGAAGCATCGCTTGTTTATTCTTGGACCATCAGTAAGTAATGCTGGTGTTAGGAAAAGGGTACTTGGTAAGGATGACAGCAAATCAGTTGATGAAGTAGTGAATATTCATCAGTCGAGGTGGTTGGGACATGTGTTGCGAATGCCCAACTACCGACTGCCCAGACGAGTGATGTCTGATATAGGAGCAGGCTGAAAGCTAGGGGTGGCCAGACTAAAACATTGCATAAATCAATGAAATCACTGAGAACTGAACTGAGCCATGTTAGGTGTAGACTACCCGGTTGGGGTCCGCGAGACAACAGTAAACGGCGTTTAGAGACTTTGAATGATATGACTCAACATCGTTTGCAGTAGCGCAGATACATCCATTCTTTGCCCTTCTCTGAAATCTTCATGACCGGTTTCCTCCTATTTTTAATTTATTTCACTAGGACATACTTCTCGAACCATAATCTTTTCCATTACAGCTGATATTATTAATCTGGGATTTGAACTGACAACTCGATCTCTGTGTGCTAATAATGTAGTATGGCGACTTAGTGGCGTATGTGGTGCGTATGAAGTTCTGGATTGTAGCTGACAGATATATGTTTAACTACCGAATATATCGACGTATGATGTTTGCTGAAGGAGTAAGATGGGAGAAAGCCAAGGTCAGCGAAATTGATGATGTAGTATTAGTTTACTAATTCACTTAGAGATGCTGGCAGATAAAGATTACCCAGTCACGGTTTACGTAATAACAATGATCAGTGGCTGTATATATATTAGGTGAAATGGCTTAGAATAAACCACAATGGACCAGCTATATTCACTTTTTATCTTCCTATCAATCTTGGGTCCTAGTACTCATACCGTATTGGAATTTCTCAGAGATGATTCATGTGCTTCGTATATCATTCATCCTAAAAAATTTCAGAAGACAATATGAAGCGATGGCTACGATGCATAACACAGATCACAAGCATACGAAGCAAACTGATAGGATTTAGGGAGTATATATATACATATAAGCAACTACATTATTCATCGAGCGATTTAAGTAACTCACATTTAAGCTTGTAAGAGAAGTACATAAGTGGGCTGTATTAAGTGGTCAAGCACATATAATCATAGAAGTGTTATAGATACACCTTTGTTTACGAGTGTCAAGCAGTACAAAAAACCCAGATCTAGTGTTTTCTGTTGACTAGCTCCAATCACTTAAGAAGTTGTTGAGCTACAATAGCACAGACATTCAATGTTGCCTCTTAATATTCCTACAAGAATCAAGGTACTAGGGGAGGCAGTATATATTTTGTGTATATGATCTGGGCAGCATCATCGACAACCATCCAATGCAGATGTGAGAGCGCAGATTGGCAAAGCAAGGGCTGCATTTCTACAGTTGAAAAATATCTGGAACTCCAAACAACTTTCAACCGAAACCAAAATCAGAACTTTCAATACGAATGTCAAGACAGTTCTACTGTATGGAGCGAAAACTTGGAGAACTACCAAAGCCATCATCCAGAAGATACAAGTAATTATGAACAGTTGTCTACTCAAAACACTTCGGATCCTTTGGCCAGACACTATCAACAACAACTCACCTTGGGAAAGAACAAAACATATTTCAGCGGAGGAGGAAATCAGGAAGAAGCAGTGGGAGGGAATAGGACACACACTACGAAAAGCACCCAACTGCGTCATAAGTCAAGACCTCACATGGAACCCTCAAGGTCAAAGGAAAAGAGGAAGGCCAAGGAACATATTACGCCAAGAACTAGAGAAAGATATGAGCGGAATGAACAAACATTGGACAGAACTGGGAAGGGAAGCTGAGGCCAGATTTGGTTGGAGAAAACTGGTCAGTAGCCTGTGTTTCGTTTGGGGGAGCAGGTGTAAGTAAGTAAGAAATATGTATAAATTACTGCAATTCGCCATTTGTGTCTACATAAGTATAATACCGTTGAGTCAAAACAACAATATTTACCACTTTCAATAACAATTCATCTAAATATATGAACAAATATTTCCAAAGAAATTAAGCATGGAATAAATATAAAGTAGAAGATATGAGAAAATAATAAAAAAGCAAACAAACATTGTATTGTAATAATCATAATAATAATAATAATAATTCCAATGATTTAAGTTTGAATAATTTTTAGCACTTTTTTTTCATTATATATTATTATTTGCCTGAAGAAGTTTGATTTATTTAGCAAAATCGAAAATAAAACATCTAAATAACAACCGCCAAAATGATTTAAATTGAAAGTTTTATTTTTTTTTCTAAAAAAAAACAATTCAATAACAATCAGATGAAATGACTTTATTTTTTCCGTTTTCTTCAAAAAAAACCAAAGGATGTACAAGTGAGTAAAATTATCCATAGGCATACAATACACACACACATACGTACACACATAATCGATTGACTGGAACAAAACACATAATCCTAGTATCATTCTATTTCATCAAAGGTAAAAAGTAAATTCACAAAGAGACAATCATCAAACTTCCAATGATGTCACAGAGAGAGAGAGGGAAAGTTTTGAAATAAATTTCACTCGATTAAACAAGAAACTGCTGTGCGGGCACGGGCGCACACACATACACACATACACAACTGTAATTGAATTCAGAGCATTTTATTTCGATATGAAGAAATTCTAACTAAAACGTTAATTATCTCAAGATTTTTCATCTCGCTTCTATGAGAAAAAATTGTTTACTTGGAACAAGCAGTTACAAACACAAGTACATACATAAAAATAAATACATAAAGGTGGGCATATTGGTTAGCACAAACTTTATTGATTTTTTCTCACACCGACTATGTCATTAATGTGTCTGTGTAAAACAATCGGTATTTTTGTAATCATCATTATTGTTATCATTGAATTAAAAAGTAAAAAAAAGAGTTGAATTTATTCAGTAAGTGTGTGTGCGTGTGTGTGTGTGATACACAGATTGTTGGTTGAGGAGATCCTGCGTTAGTTATCATACAAACTCTAACTACATTCATATGTCAATAAAATAAAAAAAAGGATTGACATATTATGAATTGAGCATTATAAAAAAAGAGAATTTTAAATGATCATTGACTATTTTTTAGAATAAAGAAATAAAACACACATTATTTCTTTTTGTTATATGAATCATTTCTTCCTGTGGAATAATGTACAACACTATGATAATTGTTTCTACGTAGTCTAGGTTCACTCTTTGATCCTTGTCGAGAATAGGAACTACGTCGTGTTTCATTTGTATATCTGTTTAAGGCAGATGTAGTAGTTGTACTACTACTAGTAGTAGTAGTATTCTTTGTAATGGTAGTAGTTTCAGTTTGGAATGTTGAAAGGTAATCGTCATCTTCATGAGGTCGTTTTGTGCGTAATAATCTATTGATTGGTTTTTTTTATGGTAAGAAAAAGAAAGAATATTATCAAAGTGACAATTAAGGAAATTTGCTCATTTATCCATAAGTGTGAAAACATACTTTTACACTAAGGTTCCTTATTCTCACCTTTTCTTTTTCTCTCTCCTGGTGATCGACTAGGATTATGAAGACGTCAACAGCTGAAGTGAAGCACAGTATATACAGTGAACAACCAGGATGCAGCTGGACGATCTGCACTTCGCAGATGATCTGGCTCTTCTATCGCACACACAACAACAAATTGCAAGAGAAGACAACCAGTGTAGCAGCAGCCTCAGCATCATCAGCAGGTCTCAACATACACAATAACAATAACATTGTAATGGAGTTTGATAACTACCATTTACATTGGTTGATTACTGAGTATTGACCAATGTCATATTTGTCCAGTCGAATTCAATCGATCCGACAGCTATGTAGTCAATAGTCTAAGTGGTTGAACATCGACAACAACGTTTGAATGTCTTCAGGCATATCTTGTTGACAATTGTCAACTTGTATGAAACCCAGGGTGTCCAGGGTAAATGTATCCAGCAAAATGACATAATTATCACTAGTTAACGATGAAATGAATTCATCAATTTAAATTATCATGCATGTTTGTAACAATGAACACAGGCGGTTAGACAATTCAACTTCATATTTCTCCATTTTTAGTAGGCCAGTAATGCCGACAACATCAGTTGAATCTACTTATTCTTTATTAATACTAATAGTTTCTAATGACAATAGACGATTATGAAACATGTTATAGTTGATAAGATGAAAGGGTGATAGAAGTCTGAAAAGATTACCTACACTTGTTACCCTCACTGGAGCATAGGCCGCCGACTAGCATTATCCAACCTATTCTATCCTGGGCCTTCCTTACCAGTTCTGTCTAACTTTTGTTCACTCTTCTTATGTCTATTTCCGTTTCTTGGCTTAATGTGTTTTCTGGTCCTCCTCTTTTCCTTTGACCTTGAGGGTCCCAGGTGAGGGATTGTCCCTAATTTATCCTATGGGATAAAATTTTTCTAGCTTCATATTTACATCAGGTGTTCCTCATTGTTCATAAATTATTTTTTTAAATAATGAAACGAACAAATTTGTGAGGAAAAAAAGTAGTAGTATATCATATTCCATGTTAATAGTGTACGAAATGATTGGCACATTTTCACTTTAAGATAGTAGAAATTTTTTTGGGGATGTTAAATCCCCAGAACTCGCTTGATAAATGACCTAATTTTGGATTTTATGTTTTCGAGCATGTGCTGATCAGTTAGTTGACCTTGAGATCACTTTTCCCTCCAGGAAAATCCATGGCTGTGATTGGTTGCTGTGTATTTTAGTGTGCTATTTTTGTGACTGTCCCAACGACGTCTCTATAGAGTATAAATAAACGAGATTTGTGTGCTTGATTGTATTGCGATTGCTGGTGGGTGTTTGTAGAATATACTTTCTACGCTTACAAAGCCTTCTATATTCAGCTTGGGATTCAAGGTAGCCTATCTGGACGCCGGTAATTGTCTCGTTCGCGTTTATCGACCTAGGTGAACTTGCAATAACTTCAAGCGTACCTAGTGACAAACCCTACAGACTGCACTCAATGAAAAAAAAATTTTCTAACACAGAAAACTCAGAATTTTGAAGCTGATAAAACAGTCCATAGGAGAAAAAAAAACACAAAAACTATTTCAACTTACATGCTTTGTTCATTGATCTGTTGTTCATCGGAATCACTAAATGGACTACTGGATTTTGATCTAAACGTTGACATACTATAACATTTTCTTGGTTTTTTATTACGATATGGTTCATCTGACTTATTATCGTCATCATCATCATCATCTTCACTAGCACTACATGTTGGTGATGTTTGTGGTGTGTAAAAAGTGGAACTTAACGATGATATCGGTCGTTTACAATGACGTGATGACCACCAATGACGTAAATGACCATCAGAACCAAAAATACGCATAAATGAACGAACAACTTCATGTGAAATATCTTCTAATTGATCAACAAATTCACGACGTTTACTATCGAAATTTTGTATAAAAGTAGAACCACGTTTCATCATTGTTTCAAGATTATCTTGTAATTGAATACTTTTTTCCTACGGAAATTTGAGAAAAAAAAACAGATGAAACTATAAACATTTAAAAAAGGAAATATTATACTTTAAACAACATTATCCATTTATGGTCGGTCACTCACTTTAAGGAAGAGACTTGCGTCGTGAACGCCACTACTAGTCACTACTTTATTCTACTTAAAACGCTTGCGGCTTAATGGCAATATGGAGACAAGCCACAAAGGATGTACATATCTAAAAAAAGAGACTGAGTCAATAGCAGTTCTTAACATTAACAACGCAAATATTCAAAAGACATAAAGGAATTGCAATGATATATACGCTGAAAAAAATACTAACTTTGTGAGGAAATTGCATTTTTTTCAACTTTGGGATAGTGGAGAAGATTTATTTCTCCATAAAGATGATTTTAGTAGAGTTGCTGATGATATATGTTTCTGTCTAGATAGAATGCTGAAAACTTCACGACTGAACCAAGTAATTTTAACGAAAATGCTAGGTATGTATGGTTCCAAAAATGTAGTTTTTATGTTATATAACTCTATCAATAATGAATTAGATATAAACTATTAGAAATAACTAATTTAACAGGTTGTTGAGCAACAGCGCTAAAACAATCTTAGAGTGAATTCACTATCACTGATAGATAGGACATTTTCTCTCTTCTGACGCTACCTTGGATACGCACTCATACTAGCGATTGGATAACAATTCGCTGGTGAAACCACGAGAAAATCAAATGAGCAAATATGTCATTATTAGAGGTTTGAATTATTTGGCTGTTAATAAGCTGAATTGGTCAATCTTTGATCAATCTTTGTTGATATATATGTGTATCCTCCTGTGTGAACTGCCTCGATGTAGCTATTTCATACTGTTCTTTCCTCTTATTTAGAATTGTATTCTATAAGAAACACTTATATCGAGGTGATTTTGACAAGATGGACATAAATCAACAAAGACTGATCAAAATACAGCTGTGATAATCATCAACAGGATAATCCAAACTATTTCAAATTGAATAAAATTTCATATCCGCTGCACAAGTAAGTAGCTGATTGGACTCAGCAGCCTAGTCGATGACATGTTAGGCATTAAAAAAGAAACGTACTCGACCTAAAATCGTAACATGAACATCAACAGCATATTCTGTTAACAGGTTCCGAAAAGGATGAAAAGTGTATCCCAGATTCCGCCAGTAATCAAAGTTCATTTATTTTTTTTGTAAAAAAACCGCTCTCACTAAGCCTACTTAATACAGGCTATACTTCGCTAATCATGATGTTTATCCTCAATACACCATTTACTACGTTATTACTGTGATGGAGTATACAGAACAACATATCATATTAAAAAATCTCTATAGATCAGTCAAACGTATATATATATATATATATATATATATATATATATAGGGTTTTTTATTCTTTCTGATTTATTTTCTTCTTTTTTCAATTAGAGTTATGGAGATTTGTGTTTTTACACATTGAGATCATCAATCAATCATTGTTATGCCATCATTAGAAACCTGGAAGCACTGAAAGAAGGCCGTTTCGTCCTGGTATGGGATTCATCAGTAGTGCGCATCCATGGATCCTGCATCTCGCAGGGTTTGAACCCAGGACCTCTAGTCTTGCACGTGAACGCCTAACCTCTGAACCACTGTGCCGGCATCCAACGGTGTTAATGTCTAACTCTGATCAATCTAGAGATTTTGTGCGACTTCACCAATCTGTCTTTAGTATTTACTGCCGACACCCGACAGGGTTCTATCGAATTATGACTGAAATAGAATCATCTAACACCACACTATTTAGTTCATCTTTTCACTTTAACAGTCAAAAGTTCCAAATTAACCCATTTATAGTTCAGTAAATGTAACACTATTAAAATATTCCACCTGAGACAAACGTTTACTTTTATTTAAAAAAAAATTATGAAATACAGTCTTATTAGGAAATGTGATTTAAGAAGATTAGACGTTTTACTTATGGTAGTATAATCTGTTTTATTAGCTAAACTATTATACGCTGTACATATAACACCTATTTTTCTTATTGTTGTAGTGAAAATCGATAAAATTTACTTGACTTTTGAGAGAAAACAGGATTGATCAAACAATGTTCGTCTTAAACACAACAACAACGACTACTACTACTTATAATGATAATAGTAGTAATTTCTATTATCGTGTGCTAGTTATAATATTATTTTTGTTTGAAATACGACAATATCATACATGTGTGAGGATTAATAATTTATTTCAGTCATAATGATGAAAAGAAGGATTTTTTCTGGATTAGTTGCTTGTACAACTATATAAGTTGATTTTAAATTTCAGGTCAGTTAAAAACGCAAAAATAAAATCTGATAAATTATTAGATTCTTTTTTTTGATAGAATAATAAAATATTCTTACAATTTATGTGAACAATAATTATTTCAGAATTGATTGACGGTACACTAGTTTTTCGATATTGATGATTACTAGTTGAATAGGGAAATATTTCAGTAATTATTGACTTGTAGTACAGATTAAAAGTTATTTAAGTGATCAGAAGGAATGGTATGTTGTTATTCGATAGTATCTTTCAGTTAATTAGTTAAAATCAACATAAAGTCTGTAATAAGATTTCATATTATTTTGTCACGTGACGAAATGAAATAAACAAAATGGACAGTCGAGAAAGCAGTCAGTCTGTTACAACGTAGAATTGCGTACGTACGTTACATCAGTTCAAGTTGCCATACCACATTAGCACAGAGACGTAATTGTCAATTCAAATCCCATAGTACTAGAGGTAGTAGTGTGGTGCGCGCTACTCATAAGTAGTATATGACGCGAGTGTAAACGTAATGTCTGGTAGCAGAAGATGGGGGAAGATCAAGAACGGAAGAGTGGGAACACAATGGAATTTGTATGAAACGCATGAATAGTGAAATGTCAGACAATGGATTGAAGATTTTCAAATTAACGGTTACGATATGGTTTTCCTATTTTACTGTAATTTTCTGTAATTTTCATGAAGTACAATTCGGTTGCCCTCACCTGTGGTCTCCTTCACTACAGTAGAAGTATTAGCAGTAATCGGAGAGATTAGGGTTCAAGGATACAGTGAACCTGGAGAATATGATTTGTCAAGACAAATAGAAAAAAAAAGGAATGTGTATAAAGGAATATTGAAGCCTCAGAAGTTTTAAATAAACAGTAAATGCACCTGCACCACCATTGTAACCTATTTGGAGTAACATCATTTTACTTGAGCATCTCAGCAATTCAGCTACAAAATGAATAATACTTAGTGTGAATAAAAAAAAATCATAATTCATTAAATTATCAACATTGTACTTCTTTCTTTAATTCACATGGAAATTTAACATTTAAAGTATTTGGAAAAAAATAACAGAGTTTCAAGGATGAAAGAATCTGAGAAATGTTGAAAAATAAATCAGAATCCACCATCACATTCAAAATGTAAAAGTTACATCGACTTTTATAACTTAATCAAGGATAAACAATAACAAGACTATTAACTTCAACTACTTAACATTTCGATGTAGAGAATGTGTGTGGTATTGGAGCCACTAAGATTAACTAGAAACCACACTCTGCAATTTAATCGACAGGATTCAATCATCACTGCTGAAAGACTGAACAAACAACATATCAGTGATCAATCAATTGTTAAATTAAATTATAAAAACGCAGTGCTAATGTGATCGTGTGAATGGATTCGAGTTAATGGAAATCGATTTTTATTCGTTGCATGATACAATAAAATGCTTATCTAACTCATGTCAGACAAAAGTTGTATATAAATTACTGATTACTAAAAGAAAACCTTGATGTTAACAGACAAAAGATTAATGAGTCAGAATTAATCTTACCTGATATCTTTCGACAGACATTGAATTAAAAAAATAATCAGAACATCGTTTCAAGGTTGTGATGAAAGAGACATTGTACAAAGAGAATTTCAACACTTATTCACAAATTAATTATTTATTTGTCTAGATATTAAGAATTTACTGTAAGAAGTATGAAAGTTCGAAAAATGATCAGACAAACAACTCTATTACTTTTGTAAGACAGGAGAGAACAGTTGTATTGATTTATTCCACGTATTGACTAACTCACCTAGACTTTCTATCTAGTACTAATGACACGGATAAATGTAAGATAACAGCCGAGATTACGAAGGAATGATTGTTAGTTCAAAATCCAGTTTCTAAGCTTGCCTGCTCAATAGAATCGAACTCACAACACAACAAGTAGTTAGCTTTAAACTACACAATTTGAATTTATGAATCACTTATAGAGTAAAAACTTGCCTCCGAAACCAACCAATAGTTTAAGTGTTTAATAATACGAAAAGTATAACAGTAGTCTTAGTCTTTCTTACATGACTATAATACATTTGGATAAAGTCTTAAATGTAGTTGTTGCTCGTTATCCGAAGTCAACACTGACAGCCATTATACATATTCCATGAAACTTTTTTTAATGGCTTAACTAGAAGGAATACCAGCAAAGGTGCGGAAACAATAGAGGGAAAAAATTTACTGGGGCTCAAACAAAAATAAATCAAGCTATTGAATTTGTAGTTCAATTATATTCTTATCACAATTTTATCTTGATGGTCATAACTAATATGTCACTAATGTACTTGATCAAGGATTATTCACACAGTAATTACTTACGCCTGTTACCCCTCGTAGAGTATACGCTGCCAACCATCAATCTCCAACCAACTCTGTCCTGGGCTCTCCTCTCCAGTTGTCCCCAATTGCTATTCATTCTTTTCATATCTGCTTCCTTTCTTTTGATCTTGAGGATTTCGAGTTAGGGCTTGCTTCGTGACTCAATTGAATTGTCTCTGTAATATGTGTCCTGTCCACCCTTAGAAGTAGCATGACTTTATTCAATCAATGTACAGCAACGTAGAACTTTATTCAATATTTTTATCTCCTTTGAAATTTAACTAATGCCTTAGGCCTATACAGCCGTTAACTATTGAACTG